CAAAGATCTTCCTGTTCCAATGAGTCATAACCTTTATTGATCAAGATGGTGCAAAGACCAGATATTTATTTTACAACCATCTCTTGGTGTTTAATATTCCCTTACAAAATAATATTAAACAAAGAGTGACTATTACCACGTCAGATTTTAAATTGCATAATGATCTTCAAGCCAATAAAATTTAATTTTGCAGAGTTCAGCCAATAAAATCAAATGTTATTGTTATGCCTAAGAGATTTTGCTAAAAAATGGCAAAGCCAAATGGCAATTTACAGGTGAACACTATAAATATGTATTTTCTGTCTGATGGCTTGTATGGCAGAGTACACCTGACAAAAAAGTCTTTTCCTTTTTATCATGAATACCTAGGATAAAATGATGTACTTTGACCTGACAATATTCAGATGAATGATCACTAATTGGATTTCTCCAACGGCAATCACAGTTCTCAATTTTTCAAACAAGATCAGAGAACATGGTGATTTTTAAAGGATATTTCTAAAGGTGTGAGAGGAAATGGTGCCAAAAATGCAGCACAAATTTTGGAGATTAGCAGGTCAGAAATAGTGATTTTTTCTTATTATTTACTAAGTCTGTTGATAGGCCAGGAAACTGATAGACTGACATGTTATTCTACTACAACACTAGTGAACTGAAGAGTGGGGCTTCTATTTGTAATACAAATTCTTATTCGAATTATTTGTAATACAGTTGACCTTTAATTCAAATTAATTATTCAAATAAAAATTTATTCAAATTAAAAAAATTCATTCAAATTAAAAAATTTATTCAAATTAAAAAGTTTTATTTGAATTAAAAGTTTATTTGAATTAAAAATTTAATTCATTTTATTCAAATTATTTGTTTTATTTGATCTATTCAATTATTGGAATTTTGGGTTTGTTCATTCATTTTATTAGATTATTTGGAATCGTGGTTGTTCAATTACTTAAATATTCAAACTATATATACAACAAGGTTTAATATTGATTTTATTATTATAAAAATTGAAATTAAAAATGAAACTAATAAGGAAAAGACTGAAACAAGTAAGGTTCCAAACAGATCAGATCAAAATCAGTTCAGTTCAGTTCAGTTCAGATCTTATTAAATTGCAATCTGTTTTAAACCAGATTAGATCAGATCAAAACCAGACCAGACCAGATCAGATCAGATCAGATCCAGTTAAATTTGCAATCTGTTTAAACCAGATCAGATCAGATCAGATCCTATTAAAATGCAATCTGTTTTGAACCAGATCAGATCAGATCAAAACCAGACCAGATCAGATCAAAACTCAGATCAAAACTAGACCAGATTGATTTATAGATAATTAATATAAAATTTTATTTATTCAAAATTTTTTTTACATATATTCATAATTGATTCTTTAATACCCCCTTCCACCAATATCTAAGACACATACAAGCTCTAATCGTGCTTGCAGATAAACTACACCTGGTTGCTGTCACTAGATCAGTTCCTCCTGAAAAAATTCTCTCAACTGGCACACTTGTTGCTGGGATGGCAAGATAATCTCTTGCCATCAATGCCAAATGTGGATACTCTGACTCATGATTCTGGAGAATAACAAATAACAAAACATGTGAATTTAATTATCTATATTTATATACAATAATTTAAATAAAAATTTACTTACTTTCCACCAAGTCAATACATCAGTTTTTGGTGGTGCATTTGGTGATTTAAGATATGCATCCAATTCATCATCATCTCTGACAATTTGTTGATGTTTGTAAATATGAGCAGTAAGATCTTCTTCTTCTTCAATATCATTATTTTCAGGATTGCTAAATACAGTCAAATTTGGTGCATATCCAGATTGATATATATCTTTGATAACTTGATGTGCATTGTTTATAAAATTTGCTTCCCAATTGTTATCTCTATAATAATCTAACTTGAGTCTTGATCAAAGGACTAATAAAAATATCAATTTAGTATAAATTATTGTAGTTATATTGAACTAAAACCATTATGCTTACTTGTAGCAATAGTATAAACAGAAGCATCAGTCCTAATATAATAAAACTTAAGTTTTTCAATCACTTCTTTAACTTTTCCTTTAATATCACTTGTACCATTTAAATTGTGTTCATAATCTTCAAGATTATCAATTAGCCAATTAAATATAAGAACTGTTGAAGTAAGAGTTGGATAATGATTTGTAGAAATATGTTTAGTTGCACGTGAAAAAAGCTAAATAGCAAAACATATATTAAATTAATAATAAGTTAATATAAAAAAAAATTGATGTAATAGTATTGCATCAAAAAAATAATAATTAACTTACATGTAATAATTGAGAAATTTCAACAAGCTTTGACCATTCTTCTTCATTTAACACCCATTTAATCATGTATCTATCTGCTCTTCCCACACTTTCTACAGCTTATAAACAATAGAAAACATGTTTATATCATTACTCATTTAATAAATTAAACATATAAATTGCATTTAAATACTTATCTCTTTATATTCAATAGCACACATAATCATTTCATATGTAGAATTCCAACATGTGACTATGTCTAAAATCAATTCTTTATATTTTAAATTGGCTAATTTACAAGCCTTTGAAAACCTTTCCTGTTGTTGTGGAGATGATTTAATTTTTACAATTAATTTACGTAGCTAGAGAATTAAAAAATCATTATGTTAAATATAATAAGTACACCAAGTGTACTATTTACTGAAATAAAAATGGTTTTAAGATTTACCTTCATTATAGTATGGAAACCATTCACGTCATTATCATCAATATTTAAAACTTCATCCTTGTTATTAGCAGCTGTTGCTTTTAGTGATTTAAGTGCATGTTGAACAGCAATATTCATGACATGAGCAAGACAACGCACATGATTATTATCAATATCAAAATTAATACCCTCATTATAACAAATATCAGCTAAAGAACTAACAAATGTATTGTTATTCATAGCATTGTCTGTTGTAACAGCTAAGAGCTATATTTGCAAATAATATATTAATCAATTAAATTTAATTGAATTAAATATGCTTATTTTTAAAATAATTACCTTTGCAAATATTCCAAGGTCTCTACATGAAGCCACAAATGCTTCTCGCAAGTTATCCCCAGAATGGGGACCAGATAGCTTTACAAAATCTATCAATGTTTCTTGGAGTTGCCAATCAATATTTATCCAATGACTTGTTATTCCTAGAAAAGGAATTGTATTTGCAGAAGTCCAGCAATCTAATGTGAAGGAGATATGCCCTGGGATATTCTAACAATAATGGCAATATAATAAAAATTAAAATTTTAATATAAATATAAAAATTGATATAAACACAGTATATATTATATGTTTATATACTTGTAATAATTCTTTCAGATTAGAACGTTCTTTATCAAATGATTTAATAATTTCATTCTTTATAGTATCTGCTGATGGTAAAGGAACTCCAGGCTGCAACAACCACAACAGATTTTTTAATTCTTCATTTTCTATTTCAATGAATGGTTGATTACTACATACAATCCAACGTATAAGAAAATTTCAAAAGCTTTCAGCTGAAAAAGGCTGATAAAAAGAAATTAAAAATAAGCAATTATAAAATTAATTTAACAAATTATTCATCAAATCCAAAAAATTATAATTGTCAATGTCTCTGTTATGTAGTGAATTTTGTAATACTTCTAAGGCACACCCATATCATTAACTAGTATATCAATAATAGGATGATCTGGAAAAACGTTTGAGGTATCTTATTGATTAAATATGTTGGAGGTGACAAAGAAACAGTAGGAAGAAAACCCTGTTTTTGAGTAGAACTAGCCAAGTATTGTTCAATTGGATGATGAGTGGTTGCTATACATGTACCAATGATAAAAAGTCCTGATCATGATTGTACCAGATTTGAAATTGTAATTAAATAAGAATATAATAAAGATGTTTTATTTAATCCATCACCATCTCTTGTCTTGGCTACTTGCATACCATCTACAGTAATAAATATTGCTAAATCCTCTAATATTTTAACTGATCCAATTTTGTATGATTTTTTAAATACATTCCAATTCCCATGCCAATTAGGTAAAAGTTGAAATAACATCCTAGTTCCTATTCCTATATCAGGATCTTTCTCATCATTTATGTCTAATGCTGTGCCATTCTCAAAAGAAATATTAAAAACTAATGCACTTTTCAATCGTTCTTGTAATTCTGAATGATTGACAGCACAATCTTTTGCAAGTTGTAGTAGTTCTGTTGCTATTCTGGATTTACCTGTGCCTGAACCAGCTAAAATTAGATAAATTGGTATTAATGTTTTATCAATTCTTCCTGATATAAAATTTTCATAATGTATCTTTAAATGTGCTCATCAATTCATCAGATCTTTGAAATTGCCATGACAATCCTTCAGTTTTAATAATGGTTCAGGTTCTAAATATTTTAGATCATTAGGTAGTTCACCTGATAAGAATAGATCATTGACAAAAAACAAAATGGACAAAAGAGATGATAATTGCTAATCTTAAATAAATTGATGAATATCACAAGCAGCTATGAAAACAATAAAAGATCCTACCTCCACCAACTAGATAATGAAAAGAATGAAGTGTAATTCCGAAATGAATAAGATTAATACATCAGGAAAACGTGATTTTTGATACACATATTATATGTATATTATACATGTATTATTTTAAATTACAGGTGATCTGCATATAATATATGTATAATTTGCATGTAATTTATGAAAATGTGTATTATACGTATATTATATGTGGATCACCTGTAATGTAAAATAATACATGTATAATATACATATAATACATGTATAAAAAAAACACATTTTCCTGATGATGCACATTTGGGATGTTCCAATTCCAATTGGAATTTATTAGAATGCTCCAATTAAATTTTATTGGAACCATAAATGGCACAACACTGCCCCCAGTAATTGTTGCAATTAATTGTTTCTCGTGCATAATTTCGACCAATGATAAATTAGTGGACAAATTAGGCCATCAGGAAAATGGGTACAAATATTATCCGTATATAATACACAATTGCAGGGATTAAGCATATAATATGCGTACAAATCACATATTTTTTTATGTATGCAAATTGTACATATATTATATGCTTAATCCCTGCAATTGTGTATTATATATATGCATAATATTTGTACCCATTTTCCTGATGACTACTTGGAATTTATTTTTGCAGACAACAAAAAGAAAATTATTTTTATTTTAAAAATATAAGTTAAAAATCGCATTTGCATGGGAGGAAAATACTTGGACCCAAAGCCATTTGTGAGTATTACCTATTCTTTGGGCATTCTGACAAAAATCTAACTTTGCTATTACTACTGCTATTATTATCAATAATGTTATTATTACTAATATTTATATTTTCATTGTTAAGACTCCGAACAGATCAGATCAGATTGGATTTGGTGGAAATCTGATCTGATCTGAAATCTGTTTAAGCTGATCTGATCCGATCTGGGTTTTTAAAATAATGGATCTGATCTGATCTGATCTGATCTGGTTCTTTAAAATATTGGATCTGATCTGATCTGATCTGGTTCCTCAAATACTGGATCTGATCTGATCTGATCTGGTTCTTTAAATATTGAATCTGATCTGATCTGATCTGAAATCCGAAATCTGATCCAAGATATTACTGTAAAGTAGCACTTCTGTGACATTGCCTTTTTAGTAAATTTTATGGTTTGCCACAGAGCACTATCTTTCCAGACTTTATGATATAAATAATAATAAAAATTTTATAAAAATATTTGAAAAAAAAATTAATTTTACAATTTTTACAAATTAAAGAATTTTATGAATTAAGAATTTTTATGAATTAAGAACTTCTATGAATTAAGAATTTTTTTATATGAATTTATGAATCAATTACTTTATGAACTATAATGGCAAACGTTATTATTAATAATGATTCAGATCTACCAGAAGATGTAACAACAGTAACTGTTGATGATAATAATAATAGAAAAAAAAGAAGAAGTGAAGTTTGGGAGCACTTTACTTTTGCTAATGATAAAGCAAAGTGTAAACACTGCATTGGGTAAATATTTTAATGAACTTGCAGTTTTCAAAAAACATATTCTTATTTATTTGAAATAATATATTTTTCAGAGGTTCATACACTGTTTCAAGTCGTAGTAATTCTAGCACTGGTAATCTTTATAAACCTTTGAGAAGTCAACATCCAACTAAGCTTAATACCAATGAAAAAAACATTGCAGTAACCGGGACTCTGAATCATTTTGTGCAATCAAAAAAATTACCAGTTAGTATAGAATTCTGAATAATAATTTGTTAAATTAATTTTATAATTGCTTATTTTTAATTTCTTTTTATCAGCCTTTTTCAGCTGAAAGCTTTTGAAATTTTCTTATACGTTGGATTGTATGTAGTAATCAACCATTCATTGAAATAGAAAATGAAGAATTAAAAAATCTGTTGTGGTTGTTGCAGCCTGGAGTTCCTTTACCATCAGCAGATACTATAAAGAATGAAATTATTAAATCATTTGATAAAGAACGTTCTAATCTGAAAGAATTATTACAAGTATATAAACATATAATATATACTGTGTTTATATCAATTTTTATATTTATATTAAAATTTTAATTTTTATTATATTGCCATTATTGTTAGAATATCCCAGGGCATATCTCCTTCACATTAGATTGCTGGACTTCTGCAAATACAATTCCTTTTCTAGGAATAACAAGTCATTGGATAAATATTGATTGGCAACTCCAAGAAACATTGATAGATTTTGTAAAGCTATCTGGTCCCCATTCTGGGGATAACTTGCGAGAAGCATTTGTGGCTTCATGTAGAGACCTTGGAATATTTGCAAAGGTAATTATTTTAAAAATAAGCATATTTAATTCAATTAAATTTAATTGATTAATATATTATTTGCAAATATAGCTCTTAGCTGTTACAACAGACAATGCTATGAATAACAATACATTTGTTAGTTCTTTAGCTGATATTTGTTATAATGAGGGTATTAATTTTGATATTGATAATAATCATGTGCGTTGTCTTGCTCATGTCATGAATATTGCTGTTCAACATGCACTTAAATCACTAAAAGCAACAGCTGCTAATAACAAGGATGAAGTTTTAAATATTGATGATAATGACGTGAATGGTTTCCATACTATAATGAAGGTAAATCTTAAAACCATTTTTATTTCAGTAAATAGTACACTTGGTGTACTTATTATATTTAACATAATGATTTTTTAATTCTCTAGCTACGTAAATTAATTGTAAAAATTAAATCATCTCCACAACAACAGGAAAGGTTTTCAAAGGCTTGTAAATTAGCCAATTTAAAATATAAAGAATTGATTTTAGACATAGTCACATGTTGGAATTCTACATATGAAATGATTATGTGTGCTATTGAATATAAAGAGATAAGTATTTAAATGCAATTTATATGTTTAATTTATTAAATGAGTAATGATATAAACATGTTTTCTATTGTTTATAAGCTGTAGAAAGTGTGGGAAGAGCAGATAGATACATGATTAAATGGGTGTTAAATGAAGAAGAATGGTCAAAGCTTGTTGAAATTTCTCAATTATTACATGTAAGTTAATTATTATTTTTTTGATGCAATACTATTACATCAATTTTTTTTTATATTAACTTATTATTAATTTAATATATGTTTTGCTATTTAGCTTTTTTCACGTGCAACTAAACATATTTCTACAAATCATTATCCAACTCTTACTTCAACAGTTCTTATATTTAATTGGCTAATTGATAATCTTGAAGATTATGAACACAATTTAAATGGTACAAGTGATATTAAAGGAAAAGTTAAAGAAGTGATTGAAAAACTTAAGTTTTATTATATTAGGACTGATGCTTCTGTTTATACTATTGCTACAAGTAAGCATAATGGTTTTAGTTCAATATAACTACAATAATTTATACTAAATTGATATTTTTATTAGTCCTTTGATCAAGACTCAAGTTAGATTATTATAGAGATAACAATTGGGAAGCAAATTTTATAAACAATGCACATCAAGTTATCAAAGATATATATCAATCTGGATATGCACCAAATTTGACTGTATTTAGCAATCCTGAAAATAATGATATTGAAGAAGAAGAAGATCTTACTGCTCATATTTACAAACATCAACAAATTGTCAGAGATGATGATGAATTGGATGCATATCTTAAATCACCAAATGCACCACCAAAAACTGATGTATTGACTTGGTGGAAAGTAAGTAAATTTTTATTTAAATTATTGTATATAAATATAGATAATTAAATTCACATGTTTTGTTATTTGTTATTCTCCAGAATCATGAGTCAGAGTATCCACATTTGGCATTGATGGCAAGAGATTATCTTGCCATCCCAGCAACAAGTGTGCCAGTTGAGAGAATTTTTTCAGGAGGAACTGATCTAGTGACAGCAACCAGGTGTAGTTTATCTGCAAGCACGATTAGAGCTTGTATGTGTCTTAGATATTGGTGGAAGGGGGTATTAAAGAATCAATTATGAATATATGTAAAAAAAATTTTGAATAAATAAAATTTTATATTAATTATCTATAAATCAATCTGGTCTAGTTTTGATCTGAGTTTTGATCTGATCTGGTCTGGTTTTGATCTGATCTGATCTGGTTCAAAACAGATTGCATTTTAATAGGATCTGATCTGATCTGATCTGGTTTAAACAGATTGCAAATTTAACTGGATCTGATCTGATCTGATCTGGTCTGGTCTGGTTTTGATCTGATCTAATCTGGTTTAAAACAGATTGCAATTTAATAAGATCTGAACTGAACTGAACTGAACTGATTTTGATCTGATCTGTTTGGAACCTTACTTGTTTCAGTCTTTTCCTTATTAGTTTCATTTTTAATTTCAATTTTTATAATAATAAAATCAATATTAAACCTTGTTGTATATATAGTTTGTATATTTAAGTAATTGAACAACCCATGATTCCAAATAATCTAATAAATGAATGAACAAACCCAAGATTCCAATAATGAATAAAACAAATAATTTGAATAAAGCAAATTAAATTTTTAATTCGAATAAACTTTTAAATTCGAATAAACTTTTTAATTATTAATTCGAATAAATTTTTTAATTCGAATGAGAATTTGTATTACGAATAGAAGCCCTAATCTAACATGCGACGCCGCCATTAGGATACAATGACGCAACAGAATTTCAGGGGGGAGGCGTGTGAGCTCTGGGGTTTATCAAAGCTGCATCATCGTCGAAACTCTTTCACTAATCTTCC